TAGGAGGGCTTTAGTGAGCAGTGCTGTCGTAGCTGTCATGGCACTCACAGCCACACAGCGAGGAAAATGAAGGTTTCTTTCACTGGTTCCCCAGAGTGGTGGCCTGTGGAAAACCACCTGGCTGGCCAGGAACCCCCAGGTAGCCCCAGCATGCTGTGCAGTGTTCTCTGCATGTGACACATGGACCAACCAGAGGGCAAGGAAATAGGCAAGAAGCCATCCTACATGATGCTTTTTTTAGTAGCTGGGATGGATATGGGTTGAAGATAAGGAAGCATTGGTCAATGAAGTTGATGGAGAATGTGTAACTGTTACGTCTGCACTGCTCCTCTTTCTGCCAACAAGAAAACTGGCCAAGGATTTGCAAGGAGCTTTGCTGAAGACAAACCAAAATCTCTCCACACACGTACTTAAAGTATTTCCTCGTGCCTTCCCTTTTGGCACCTCTATCCTGCCATGGATACCAGAGGTTTAGATTGCTTTCTGCATGCTGATTCAAAAGTTATGATTTTGCAGACAGAGAGATGAAAGTGTTTTCTGCAGCTTCTGACATTTTCAATGGAGCAATGAACTACCAGTGCCAGCTGCCCCATTAAGTCTGTCTACTGTCCTGACAAAGTATGTAGACGTTACACAAGTCATTACTCACATTATATGTGCTATGCATACATGCTGAAATTCTGGCTGTTGAAGTCAGACTGTTACCATCGATCCAGCAGAACAATGATTTCACGAGCCATTATCTTACTCTTATAAAAACCGGTAAGACTTTGCCTCTTACAACGTGACGCTTGACCCTCAAATAATCAGAGTAAAGATACTGCTTTTATTCAAGTTCAGGTTAACTGACAATAAAGTGAAAAAAACTGCGCTCTACAGTTCACGAGCAAACTCTCCAAACAGCCAAGAAGCAAAAAGAAAAGGCTGATGGAGGCAAGAGGAAATACCCATGGGCTGTCTGCAGGCATGCTGGCTTCCCAGAGGAAATTGGCTGTCTTTGAGCTGGCTATGATACAGATAAAGGAGAAAAAATCTCTCCCATATGTCAATATTCCCATTATTAAAGTCCTGAGAAGTTTGTACACTGTAGATCAAAAGAGGAAGGTGAGACAGTAGAGCAAAGAAAGTGCAGTGAAAGCATGAAACCGAGATGCCAAAATGTGATAGAGGCAAGTTGGCAAGCTGCAACCTTCAGTCCAAAGAAAACATATCACTTCTCATACATTTTCAGGTTAGATTTTCAAGTAGTTTTCTGAGCAGTGTGAAGCCCTAAACACTAGTTTCCTATGAAATGAGTGACCTACATGTTTTAGCTAGGTCATCAACATGGCCTCCTATATAGTATATATAAGAGATAACCTCAAAAATGTTGCATATCCCAAGTAAGTATTTCATAGTCTCAAGAGGGACAGAATGCTGAGAAAACATTTTCGCTCCTTGAACTTCCCAGCAGAGACAAACTTTCCATCCATGTGTTATAGAATTTTTGAAACTGAAAGGTCAGCCCTAAATATTGAAGATCTTGTCAGCTGTATGATTTGTCCATGGCCAAATATAGACAAAAATGTAATACAAATTACTAAATTGAGAGTGATAAATTAACCTCTTATCTAGAGAAGCTTCCTATTGTTGCAATATCCCTCCTGTTTGGTACAATACTAGTACAAATCTTTTCTCAGTCAGGGTAGACTGGTATGCACACAGTATGTAGGCTGCAAATCCACTAACTATAGGCTGTTGTAAAAAAATAGCAAGAGATTTGTGCAGTCCTTCTAGAACAAGTCACTTGTGGATAAAATTCATAATTTGATTAAGATAAGGCTTTGGGGATCCCTCAAAGATCAGGTCCCCATTGTGTATGTTCTCCTTGCCTTTGTCCCCATGAGTTTACAATCTATGTGGACAAACAAAAGGCAGAAGAGATTTGGTGAACTGCCGCAGGTCACGCAGGACACAAGTTATCAGCCCAATGCTCCGTCTGCTTGGCAATGCTGCTTCAGAGAGCCACCTCTGCTTTTAATATATAAAATCACAGTAAATGTTCTGTGGTTTTTGTGCTTGACAATGGGGCAAATGTCAAAGGAGTACTGAGCTTCTACGTCGAGACCCAATACTGTCAGAGTTCACTGGTGGTAATTGATATTTATTAGCAGTGCTTATTGTTAATTCATAATGCAGCCTGTCATTGAAATATTACAAACAAAGCATGCAGTCCCTGCCGTTAGGAGCTCACAGGCAAGCTGTGCAAAACATTCATCTCCTCTACCATGATAAAATATGCACAGCATATTCTTTCCTCCTGATTTGTATAAAATGAAGCTATTTGATGGATCCATCATGCTCGCTTAGCTATGCATGATAAATAAATCCAGAAACATTCAGTAAATATCCTCAGCTGCAGGGATTACCAACAAGGGAATCAATTATGTAAAGTATGTGGGTCTTAGAGTTAGACATACACACCGAGACTCACATCAGTCATCAAGAGAAAACTTCAGCTTTCTCCTGAAATCTAGAGAGCTTTTTTTCACTGGATTGCAGACTTAAGCCCTTTTTAGCTGCTACATTTTTTCCTGTAAGTAGATGGAGTTTAGCTTTTTCTATACCCAAAAAACTTGCACAACAAAGAATGACTTGATAGGAAAAGTTAAGCAAAAAAGGATAGGAAAAGTTAATAGGAAAAGTTAAGCAATTAATAAACTGTGAAACATAGAATTAGGAAAGTTTCATCTATTTAGGCTAATAATTACTGAAGCATGAGCCAGACTTGGTGCTTGAATTTAGCATTCCCACGCCAATAATGAGTGTTACCTGCACCCTACCAAACTCTGGGCAAAAATGGGCTAGGTTGAGGGAGGTGGGATTTCAGATTTCAGAACAAGGAGCCAAATCACGATGCAGGGATAGGGGGTCTCCTCCTGACAGCCCTATCTGCTCCTGCATGCTTCTGCAGTGCCTCAGAGACAAGATCCAGCAGAGCCAGCCCATGGTTCTGCCGACCTCTCCTGGGGAGATAAACTGAGATTTTCTTACATCAGCACCTCCCAACTCACATCGCCCTTTCCTGAGGACCCACAGCTGCCTTTCACAGCTGAGCCTGAGGCTGAATTTTGTGCCAGGACACCCTGCTCAGGCCATTGATGCTAGGGCACCTTTTTCAGCCAAGGCTTTTCCTTCCTACCCAGCAAAGAAACTCCCATTTTCTGGGGCTGCACTGCAGTGAGATCTGCACGTTCTCTCTGATCTCCTTAGCATACCTCTCCTAAGAGGGTACAGAGCCCTCATATCTGAAGAAGCAGACACCTATAGGGTTTTTTCATGTGGGTTTTGATCAATGTCTCAGGACCAGACACTTTATTTGATGTCTCTAATGACAGTCTTCTGACTTACAAAGTGAATTCCTTTCACTCTCAGCCTTTTAAAGCCTCATTTAAGAAGACATGACCACGGCAGAAACAGCTGAGTGGAAGCAAAGGGGCCTTCCTGTAAGGTGCAGAGCACTGACACCGTGCATGGTGACAGCTCCACTGCTGAGCCCAAGTGTCTGCAAGGCATAGCTGCTGTACATCGAGCGTGCACAGCGCTGGCAAGTGCTGCAAGCACAGGGGAAAAATCCGCCTAGGCATCTAGTTCTCGCACACGTGCCGAGGCACTTACTGAGCACAATAACTGTGCTGCGGGGTATCTTTTCCCTCCTCATTGTACAGGGATTAAGGCTTGGCTGCCTTGATGAGAAAGCTGTCCCAGTTGCTTGCAACCTTTTAGCATTCCTGGTTAGAACTCTTTTAAAGGGACAGCAAAGGCAATCAGAGAACCATTCCCACTCCTCCCTTTAAAACAGACTTAATTTTAAAATGTAATTAAATGCAGTGCAGACGTAGCCCTGTTTGCTTTTGTCAAGCCCCTTTGTGGCTGCAGCGCTCACTCTGCAGGAGGGAGGCTTTGACTGGGGGAAACCCAGGCTGGGCAAGGGGGGAAAGCCGGGCTGAGGGGTGAGACCGGCATCACCTTGCTGTCTCTGCACCATGACCTTAGGCAAGTCACCGTAGCATTTGGGGTTTCAGTTGCCTTGCTTTCCAAGGAGGAGGGAAGGCTATCATTTTCCTCCTACGCATCGTGGTTGGAGACAGAGGATGGCAAAGTGCTAAACTAGAGCTGTAAAACTGTTCCGGTAGCCTAATGACAGCTCCAGAGGAGTAGCAGAGTACATCCATTTTCCCATCTTTTTGGACCTGGCTAATGAAGGGAAAAGAAAGCCCCTGCCCTAGCAGACAGCAGGCAGCAACTGTGAAAGTGATGCACTGAAATGCAGGAAACACAGCAGAGTGCAGGAATTCGGTTACATGGCTGTTTGCAAATTAATGGCTAAATCAATTAAATGAAAGCATGGGATTTCTCTTGAGGAAAGTCTAGTCACAATTGCAAGGAGAAGGGGAGGGGTTGTGGAGTGGGGATGACATAATCACGTTTGCGAATCACCAGCAGTGTGCATGCTTTAATCCATTAATGGGGTTTTTATCTGTGATCATAAAAAGCAGGTTACATTCAGCCTGGAAGGGAGTGAGGGTTGGAGGAGAGGGGAGGGCAGAGCAAGAGCAAGAGAGAGAGAGAAAGCAAGGGAGAAAGAGAGCACAATTCACTCGGTGAATTGCTTGCAAGCTTTGGGCTGATAATTAGGGATCTCAGGAGAGCAGTTTCTCAGAATAACCTGCTCGCCTTCAAATGGACTGAGTGGAGACAGTGGTTCAGTCCTGCTGATATTTTTTAAGCCCTCCTCACAGTTTGATGGGCATTCCCAGCGCTTTTGTGCACGTCTCGGAGAGCGTTGACGTGGAAAGGAGCAGCGAGGAGGGGGAGGTTGGAGAAAAAAACTGCAGCTCTTCTAAAAATACGGAGGGCATGCAAGAGTGCGAGCAGGCTGGGGAGGAGGGCGAGGTGAGAGCGCCTCGCGCCATGGTCCCCGGGTGCCGGCGCGGCGCAGTTTCGGAGATGTCCCTCCTGTGACTGGACGCACCATGAGCATCTGGGAGGTGATCCTGGCTTTCGTGGTGGTGGTGCTGATGCTCGTGGCCCTGCTGGCCAACGTGCTGGTGCTGATGTGCTTCCTGTACAGCGCTGACATCCGCAAGCAGGTGCCGGGATTGTTCATCCTCAACCTCACCTTCTGCAACCTGTTGATGACCGTTTCGAACATGCCCCTGACCTTGGCTGGGATCATTTACAAGAGTCAACCAGGAGGAGATCAGATCTGCCACATTGTGGGCTTCCTGGAGACTTTCCTCACCACGAACTCCATGCTGAGCATGGCAGCTTTGAGCATTGACAGGTGGATTGCTGTGGTCTTCCCTCTAAGTTATCACTCCAAAATGAGGTACAGAGATGCTGCTCTCATACTGAGCTACACGTGGCTGCACTCGGTGTCGTTCCCGATAGTGGCAGCTTCTCTCTCCTGGGTGGGTTTCCATCACCTCTATGCCTCCTGCACCCTGTACAATAAGAGACCAGAGGATAGGACACAGTTTGTGATTTTCACTGGGGTCTTTCACACCCTCAGCTTCCTCCTCTCCCTTATAGTCCTGTGTTTCACATATCTAAAAGTGCTGAAGGTGGCACGGTTTCACTGTAAGCGGATTGACGTGATCACTATGCAGACCCTGGTGCTGCTTGTGGACATCCATCCCAGGTAAGGTGCCTGTGAGTGCAGCAGGTGAGACTTTGTTGCAGAGGAAGCAAGGACCGGGATCGGTGTTATGTTAAGTACAGTCTGATCGGTATCACAGCGGGGGATCGGGAGGGGAAGAAAACAAGCATCCCTGTTGGTTTCTGTTCTGCATGCTTCTTTGTACTTGTGTTCAGTTTTGGGGTTGCAAAAAAAAAATTCTTCTTTGTTATTTTTAGGAGCTTGTTTTGAGAGGGAGAGCAAAGAAACAGGCTGTTTTACCTGGGCATGCATTTCCCTTCGAGGCAATGGTCAGATCACTGCCCCTTGTCTCAGGAGGTGGATTTAGTGACTGACAGATTTGTGGGTTTGGGCACTGTCAGCCCCAAATGCTGCTGGATCTCACTGAGAGGGGGCACATGTCCCTCCACTTGGAGCTGGAAGGGAAGGGAGTCTGGGGCACTGTGTGCTGCTCCTCTGCCCAGCTCTGTCCGTATTGCTGTGCCCTCTGTAACCTTATATTTTCTGAAGGCAGAATCGTAAGGGAATAGCATCTGCAAAATGTGTATGCTTGAATGCCTGTATCTAAATCCAGCTGAGAGAGACTTCAGTAGCAACGTTAATATGACAAGCGAGGGATGTATAAAGTTCATTGCTAATGAGAGTCCGTAAGCAAGGAAATTGTTAGGAGAAAAGTCTCCAGGGGCTGGGAGAATAATGGGCTTACAGGCAAGCACCAAACAGACATGAAAATGTGTTGGAAAGCAGTGCAAGAGTCACATCAGAGATTATACACAAACTGTAAATTCTGTACGAATAGGATGTGCCTGGATCTGGAAGGGAAGCAGATTTCACTGGAGAAGGGAGGGTGGGAGCTCATTACGAGCTCCCTGGCTCGTTAAGGAGAACTGAGCTGTAAAGCTGAAAGAGAGAAATCCTTTCTGGATGGAAGCCCCAGGGCGGTGCTGGGCAGGAAGAGGTCCTGGTGAGGAGCTGGGAAGGTGCCTGGTGCACAGGAGTTGGTGTGCAGTGTGATTGTGCCATTGCTCTGCTCACGGGAAGCAGAGAGGGTGAAACAGAGAGGACTGAAGCAGGCATGGCTGGAAGGACGTGGGATTGGACTGCGGAGAACGGACCAGCCAGAGTGACCCACCTGGTGATTTGAGAAATGAACCCACAGAGCTGGGGTAGGGTGGAGAGGGATGTGGGCTGATGGATCAGATTATCCTGGTTAGGGCTGAGAGGCTCCCAGGGGCTGGGGCAGATGGGTTAAGAACCAGCTCTGACTGGGACAGGGTGGCAAAGCCAGTGGGTGAGCTCTGGGCAGGGGAAAGCGGGGGCACTGGTCACAGTGTGGAGAAAAATGGGCCTGGTTTGCTCAGAGTTAGGTTTTGGGGAGGAGTGTGTCTGGAGGGGGTGATTGGAAAGGAAAGGGTTTGATGGATTTGCCTGGAAAAGAAGGGAGAAAATGGTTTGGCTACACAGAGTGACAGAGTGGCTGTGAGGGATGCGTGCACTACTTGGGAGACAGTCAGAGACCGAATCTTAAAAGTTCAGACTGTCTCTGTCACAGGCTGAAGGGAAGAGAAATGTGTTTCAGCGAAGTGCTAGCAGCTGCCAGCACAGTGAGGTGTCTGATACGGGGGAAGAAATCTGCCTGGAAGCGAGGAAGCCAAGAGCAGATAAAGAGGGCAGCCCCACGGCAGACATCCCTCCTGCCCCCCCTCTGCTTTGTCCTTTGCTCTGCAGGCTGGAGGCAAACACCAGCTCCCTCCATCCTCAGCCAGCTGGGAGCTGAGCTGCAGGACTGAGAGCACATGTGGCTGTCCTCAGAATAAGGTCACAGTTTGGGGATTCCTAAGCCCAAGGCAAATAAGTCTGAAAGGATCAGGGCAGGCCAGCACTGTGCCAGAGGAGCAGAAACACTTGCTGAAAGTTCTCCAGGGAAGCTGTCTGATCTGTCTCTTGACCAAGAATGTGGAACAGGGCTTTGGGTGAGTCCTGGTCCTGCTTTTGAGAAACACATGTATAAATCTTCCCTTGTCCACCAAGTCACGCAGAGGAAAATCCACCCTTCTACCCCACGTGCTGTCTGGTTGCTAAACCATACCTCGAGTGATCTTTATTTCTGCACAGGCTTTGAGTGGCCTCTCCCAGGGCAGAGCTGCGAACCCACCAGGGCTGTTTGAAATAGCAATCGTTACACCTCATGCTTCAAGTATGGCTGGATTGCACAGAAAAGAAGCAAAAATCTCAATGGTATTTCTCCTCCTCTGCATTTTCTCTGGTCTGAGTTAACTTGAGGGTGTTCCTGCATTTTGTAATCACATCACTGAAGGGCAGGTTCAGTGGGGCTGTGGGCGTTAGACCTTTCTTTGGAGGAGACAGAGTTATACAGGCACTTTGCCGTGAGTAACCTCTATTTACTAACTGCTGTGTAGCTCTTACACCAGGCTATTCTCTAAGAAAGGGGAGTTTTAACTTATTCCTTAGGCTGCAGGGATGATGGCTGATTTTAACCCATGGTGGTGTTGCCTGAAGAAGTGACAGCTGCTGCAGCTGACAGAGTCAAACCTTGGATTGCCTTCACAAGCGTGAGAGCTACACAAAGGCTTTTCACAAAGCGATGTTCCTAAAACTCTAACAAAGGCATAATTTGAGTTATATAAGTGGTATATATAAAGGGATGATTAGTGTTTGCTATGGTACCTAACAGTATAGACATGGGTGCTGTGAGGTTGAACATGAGGGAACAAAGTTTGTAATCCCAGTTTCACCTACCCTGACGTTTCTGGCTTTTTGCATGATCTAGTTTCACTGCTGAGAAATGTGTATGGACAATTCTCTGCTCCCTGTGACTCAGAATCCACCCGCAAGGGGGTCTAGCGACAGGCATTGTGACAGATGGCTTTATTACCTGTGATTAGGAAAGACACAAGTGATCTTCTGAAGATCATTTGAGAAGAGTACAAAGGAAACCTCTAAATACCACATAAAATCGTGTGAATGTTTAGGGCACATGTCCTTTCAAGTTAGCTCAGGCATTTTTACTGGGTACTGCTTTCTCTTGACTTTGTTCCTAAAACCGATTTATCTGAGTTATAGTGTGGCTTGGGCAAGAATCCACTTAATTGCTTAACTTCTGTATTTCTTAACCCAAATTATCTATACTAACTTTTTTGTGTATTCAGCTCTTAAAGATACTAGATCTTAAGGTCCAGTGTCTCATAAAGTTTGTTTAGAATACCAAACCTTTGAAGGGATATATCTCAGATTTTCCAGGATATTAAAATCTTTAAATAAAAGCTAAGTCAACTACCCGGTTCTGTTACCAGTGTCACTACTGGAACCCGTGTATATATTTTTATCTTACTGCACACAACAGCATACAAAAGCAAAATACCCATTTGAACACATTCTCTGTTTGAAGGATTGAGATAAAATACCACATCACAAAGGTAGGTATTTATTAGCTACATCTGGAGAGGCTGATCAAAAGCAATTGGTTGAAGTCTTCAGGACTTTTCAGATCATGCACGAGCACCAGAAATCAAAGACAGCTTTGCATGTGTCAAATAAAATGTGAAGAAATATAACTGGTAAAACTTCTAGAAACAAAAATTATAATGCCCTCCTCCCCAGTACAGCACCCTAATTGAACCCACTTTGGAGTTTTCTTTTTCTATACCAGCATGTTCCTGGGATAACATGAATTTAAAAACACAGGTCTTAAGTGAAGCTATTGAACCTCTCAGATTGGCTGTTTGCACCTAAAAATATTCCAGCTCTTGCAGAACTCAAAGCATATCATAGGTTCTCTTGAAAAGGTAGATTTTTTTTTCTTCTCAGCTGTCACTTCGAGCTGCAAATAACTCAGACGTAGAACATGTAACACTTTTAGATGTGTTTTAATTCTACTTAGGCATATTCTTCATGAGGAAATTCATTATTTCAAGGAGAACGAACTTTTTCCTCAGTATTTTGTTCACTTTGCCATCACTTTGCCAGCTACCACACTGCTCTGAGGGCTTGATAAGACCAGAAATAAAATGGATATTAAAAAAAAAAAAAAAAAAACACCTTTTTTTTTTCTTTAGTCCAATAGAAAGGTAACATAGCAACTACCTGCCATGGAGAGCTGCAAAGCACACTGAGATTCTCAGGACACAACGCATGCTTAGATGATGATTAGACATTTAGTTACAACAAATAATGTAAGGGTATGGTCATAAACCCCATAGCTATTAAAATACGTGTGTGGAACCGGGCACTGAGTCATCAATTACAAATTTACAATAAAAGCAGAGGGAGACCAACCCCACGCAGTTACAATGTGCAGCACGTGGGCCAGACCGCTCACTTCTCCCAAGACACGTGGTTGCTTTGCCCCAAGACCTGCACAATAAACCAACACATAGTGCTGTTATATGCCTAGAGAGGGATTTTGGCATGCAGCCTGGCTTTATTTTTGTCCTTCTCCAAAGGAAGTGTGCTGGCTGATGCACTAGTTCAGGTAGGGGTGGTTCTGGCAGATACAACCAGTGCCTCCCATTCTCACCTGGCCAACCATTTGCTTGTTCCCATCCCTGGGATTCATGCAACCAGCACAGAAGTTGCCCAAACAGGTAGAGGAGGATGGATTTTCATGTTATCAGTCTCAGGAAGCCAATGTACTAATCTCAGAGGGGTGTTCTTGCAGTGGAAGGGTGGGCTCAGATCGTGGGTACCAGAGCCCCATGATCCTATTGCCCTGCCTGCACCCTGAGGGGCTTTGCAGCTCTCTGGCACCCTGTTGTGACCACCATCAGGAAGCTCAAATGAGAAAACTCATGTCCTAAAATGCCACAGGTAGGAAAGAGCAGAGCATGACTAATTTGTATGTTTGATCTGAAACAAGGCAGGTGGTTTGATCTGTGGAGTCAGAACATCACAGTTCTTCAGATTTGTTGCATAATTCCCAGCTTTGCAAAGCACTCAGTCCGTGCAGGATATGTCATAAGATTTATGGCCACACAGTTCACAGCTATGGGATGTAACGATTGCTCTAATGTTGGGCTGAATGTTTAGAGGGTGTTTTTCCGGTTACAATTTTATTATGTTTTGCTGCTTATCTCACTGGGCAGTTCCTCCTATCTGTGATATTGTCGTTTGAATTGCTATTTCTAGGAAAGCAGCATGTTGCCTACCCCACTCTGGATATCTTCCAAATCTCTGAATATCATGAGGCAAACTCTAGCCTGCATACACAGCTTACAGTAATTCAGAAAGGAGTTGCTGCAGCTGAATTCAAGGCTGAATTCCACCAACTTGTCTATATATGAATAGATATAAGGGGTGTGTGTAAATGTTACATATATATATATATATATTATATATATATATATATATATATATATATATATATATACCTGCATTTCCCCATAATTATTTTTGAAGGGTAAAATCATATAAAGGATTGATACTCAGTGTTGTCCTATAGAAACATGTTATTGTATATATGTGAATACAGCACTTGCTGGCAAGCACTTACTGGAAAGATTGATTTCAATCATTCCAGAATTATAGCCATTAAAGTCTGCTACCTGATATTATGATTCATGTTCTTGTTTGTGTTGAATGTCACAGTGTAAGAGAGCGTTGTCTGGAAGAACAAAAGAGACGGAGGCAACGAGCAACAAAGAAAATAAGTACCTTTATCGGTACTTTTATACTCTGTTTTGCACCTTATGTTATCACAAGGTAAGTGGGAACCTATGCAGTGAAGAATACTGTGGAGATGAACTCAAGTTGGAAAAGCAGTGCACTCTGAGCTAGAAATTGATTCTAGTCTCCTCTGAAAATTCTGTGCAGCATTTCCACTTCTATGACAGAGGCTGTATTTACTGAGCTAACAAAACTATATAGAATATCATAGCACTTATCTGATATAATCCTGCTACAACCTGTGGGCCAAGCCCTGTTTGGTCAGCCAAGTCAATGTGTTGGTTGCATGGGAGTGATTTAGGAGTTCAGCCCACAGAGGCCCATAGATATTGTAGTTATTTTGAGACCAACTCTGCTACTCTTCAGATTACCTCATTAGCCCAACAGGGTGGTCCATAAGATAAGGCACTTTTACATCCCAACCTAAATAGGTTGGGATGTAAAAGCCTGCTCAAACAAGATCCAGCTGAGGTGAAAACACAGTCCACAGACAACCCATAGATTTTTGTTTGGACCGAGTTCTTGATCATACACATTAAATATCAAACATGTCCTGGATTACAGCTAAAAAAGTTCTTGTGATTTATGGTCAGGTGTCCTTATTTATCTACTAGTTTATCTTTGAAAATGGCTCCTGTGGGAAACACTCTTATTAAACAAAAATATGAAAGAGGGTGTATATCTGAAGAAGTGTTATCAAGTTATTAGAAATAAATTTACAACTTGTGCTTATTAAGACTCTGGAAAAACTGAAATATTGCTATGCAGAACAGAAAAAGAAAAAAGTATTTCTGAAACATCACCTATTTAGATATTATTGGACAGAAACTTTGGGGGCTGACTTCAGTCAAATTCAGATTGACCAAAAAAAAGTAAAACAACACAGTCCTTGAAAAAGCTGAATTAAGACTCAGTATAAGCAATTGTACTAATTATATTACACAGCAAAACCAATTTTTCCACCTCAATATAATATCATGATTTTCTATGTCTAACCAAACAATTCACAAAAGGTCTTGTAGTCTCTGTAGAAAGGCAAACCAGCACACCACAGTCATTTTCTGTTTATGATAATAATAGCTAATTTATTTGTGCTAATAATTTGTAAAAATGTTTCAAATACATTTATAGCAGTGTTATCATATATTTCTTCACTTCTACTTAGTAGGGGCAAGAAGACACTCCATGCTCTGTGCACTAAAATTGCATGAAAATATTTATAATAATAATAATAGACACTTAGCCTTAATTCTCAGGCTATAAGATGTTAGAGTATTTGTCATTGGAAGTAGTTAAGTTTAATTTTATATTGGGTCTCTGAACTTAATGAGAATCATCACAGTCATCGAATAGCTCACAGCTCAGTCCTGAGTGACAGTGAGTGCTTGAGCCAGGGCTGTCAGAAGTATTTCTGTGCTCTTCACATCTCAGCCCAGTATTCAGGCACCATCTGCCCCCTTACTCTTAGTTCTGAGTCATTCTAATTTGTGTCGTCATAGTCCTGAAGTGCAAAAGAGGGATTAAAAAAAATCCTGAACCTATCTGTTTTAATCCTTACAAGGCTCACTTAAACGTTCACCCAAGTCTTCATTCCATTAAAGACTAATAGCTTTTCCATGGGCAGTAACTACGAGACTTAAGACTTATGTCTAAGGTCCTAAATGCACAAAGATGTTTTTCAGCAAAGGAAAAGACTTGTGCAATGGTCAGACATAAGAAGTAAGGGCTATCACTTTATTGGCCTTTTCATCTCTAACTGATCTAAAGGAATTACTGCATGACAGGCTAAATGGAATTCCCTGTTTAGCTACCTGAATCTTCCTGGGACCATGCTGCATGGATGGGTATTCCAGGATGCATGTTACTGTGCTTCCCTGTGCCTCCTGTGTATGGCTGAAATGCAGAAGTCAGGGGAAGAATAGGTTTAATTATGCAAGCAAGTATTATTTTCTGGACTATGTCCAGAGTGTTTTGCACTTCACAAGACAGAGGCAATCAATCACTTTTCAAGGCAGCAAACAGAAGGTAACTGATGAAGTGTATTGTTCAGCACTGCTTGTAGACAGCAGACTCTAATTGGCAGAACACTTTAAACATGCTCTGAAGTACTTTATGAATTAAGGCCTGAAAGCAGGTAATCACCAGGTTTCGCTACAGTATTTCTGCTTCCCCACTAAAAACCACCAGCTGTCTGCTGCAGTCCCACAAGCCAATGAGGAAGCCATGCCTATGGCCCCAGTCAGACAAATTCTTCTCCGGGTCAGAGTCTTTCAGATTACATTAAGGTAAAAATCAGATTAGCTACCCCTTTTATCAGGAAAACACCCTTTTAATTAGTTCAGTAGCTGACCTTAAGTAGTATATCTATACAACCCCATTCTTCTTGATTCCATGTTCCAAAGTAGCAGTATGACAGATATACTACCCTGTATTGTGTATTTATAGGCATAGCTTGTTGCTTGGTTTGGAAAAATGCTACTAGTACACATCTTTTTTTTTTTTTTTGCTATATTTATCATTATGCGATTGAACAATATTGTTCAAAACCTGTTTTCTCTAAGGAGATTTTTCATAAGAAAGATTAAAATAAGTCATACCAATTTCTAATATTCATGTCCAACTCCAGGCATTTCAGACAAATACAGAACTTTGCTCATGTCATTTAATAAGTGCTGTCTATGTGTGAGGAAATTGGCCCTAAATTAAAAATCCTGAAGTAATATCAGAAAGAAGTTTGCAATCCCAAGCCCTCAGGTTAAGGAGGAGGATTGAATTTCTCTTGTATAATCTCTGGGGATCAGGGGATAAACAAACCATGTTTTTTTTACACTCGTCGACTGCCCTCTGCATACAAATCCTGCTTGGACAGACAAACAAGCAAACCCACAGAGGAGTTCTGAGTTATGTTCTTGTTCATGCATATTAAATGCATGCTTTTCCTATGCAATCTTAGGTTGACATATTTGAAGACAGTGGCCTTATAGGCTCCCTCAAGAGCTACAGATGACATGAGGTAAAGAGATTTTCCTTCTGCATGAGAAATCTGCTGGCACAAGCTGGCCAGTGCTGCTCCCTATCATCACATCTCTGCTGCCAGCTGGTTCCCACAGCTCTGGAGAGCAGCAATGACTAAGAGCAACAGTTTACAAGAGCTGAAGGTCCACAAGTCACACTACTTCCTTAACAGAAGCTGTCTGGTTGTAATATATGTACCACTTATGAGGCAAAACTGGCTAGGCTTTTTCCACTAGCAAGACAGGATACATAAGATTCAGTCTACCAAGCAATAAAGTAAAATAAGCATAAAAGTCAAACTAAAACTGATGTTTGGCTTATTCATATCATTAACACAAAATAAATGACTAAGATCAAATTCTGTTACTATGAGACTTCTCTGAAAAACAAAAACCAGAATTAGTAACAAATATAAATGTTAGAAGTATACGCTTAAAGAGTTGATCTAACTTCCCCAATTTGGGCCAAGAGAATAAATTTCTTGTAAGAAGATCAGTTCATCTACCAGCTCCAAAATGAAGTGTGTCTTGTTTTACTCCAAAACAACCAGACATTTTAGCTTGTCTGAGGCTCTCTGGCCTATTCAGACTTTTCTTTGTAATTCAGTTTTTCTCAAGGTTAGGCAATGCACAAGAGAGGTGCTGCCATTATACTAGCCAGCTGGACCTATACACATTCAGTAAAATATTTTACTAAAATGATTAACTGCACATGTTGATAAAACATTTTCATTGTGTATTCCACTGCATAAGAGATCAAGGTCTTACACATCAAGGTAACATTCTTGTTTGTTTACTGAAAGTGAAATAAAATAATTGGATAGCCACTTGACACCAAGTGCTCTACAGAAATATATTTCTAAAATATTGACAAAGTATCACAGCAAAACGGTTTATAGCTTTGAAGTACAGGTATTATCAGACAGTAAAAGAGTGGCTTATGAAAGCAAGTAGGGGAATTATGTAGACAATACTGTAGAATTTAATTTACAGGTTGATCTGAAATATTAATGCTCCTTCACTGAAAATATCTTCCTGGCTGAGATGTTTCATGAAACCCTTTCAAAGGCAATAAGTTATATGATAGTCTTTACAAGAATGATATTTAATTGTTTCTACATGAAATGAAATTGCATATCTTGGGGGTAGTCTGCATTTGTTGCTAGATATCGTAGAATAGCTTCGGTTAAAAGGGACCTGAGAGACCACCCAATTCCAATTCCCCTGCCATGGGCAGGGATGCCACCCACTAGACCAGGTTGCTCAAAGTCCCATCCAGCCTGGCCTTGAACACCTCTAGGTGTTCTAGGGCATCCACAGCTTCTCTGGACAGCCTGTGCCAGTGCCTCATCACCATCATAGTAAAGGATTTCTTCCTAACATCTAATCTAACTCTCCCTCTCTTTTAGTTTAAAAACATTCTCCCTTGTCATATCATTACCTGCTCAAGTACATCTGCAAATATACTATGAAAAATAACACACGGAAAATGCAAAATATAAAAATATCAAGGACACTTAAGGAAATAATTTGAGGAAATATTAAAGATTCTGTTGATAAAAGTGTTGATAAAAGCCTTTAAATTGATCAGTCACTGAAGGCATTATGAGTAGGTCTAGGCTTACCACCATCAGGTGCCTATTTGATGTATTTAAATGGAGATTGCTAATGATGCGTAGAACTGAGTGACAGAGGCTCAAATACAAATTTATCATACCTTGGTCATTCGAGGCATCCACTGAATTTAATTAAGCTTAATCAAATTTACATTCGTAAAACATTTGACAAAGTAAATCAACAGGATTTAATTCAACACAGTAAAATTCAAAATGCAAGGAAGAAGCCATCAGATATGTGAGGAACAGAAAGAATAAGAATGGCTCAATGTAAATTACAACAATGCCAAACAACACCAGTGGAAGGGCAAGAGCAGTTCTCAAGTATTTTCATATCATATAGTCTAGTCACCTCAAATGTCTCACATGGCTGTGAGCCCATAACTCGATAGTTATTTGAGTTCCTCTTTTCACATACATAATACTTTCAGCCTTTGTGTCTGCTGAAGTTTGCATGATCTCCCTGGAGAATAGCACAAGACCAGCTGCAGCACATTTCTGGAATGGCCATTCATCTCAGTAAAACGTATAAAGAATCCCAAAATAATTTGTTCTTTGATAATAGGACACATTGATGTAAAGATGCTATTTGTGACAGGATGATACTTCTGTTTAAAACTTGTTATCAGTGACTGATGTTTAATTATTGGACAGTGAAATTAAGAGAGTATAAAATGAATTGTCAAACCTTGACTTCAGTAAACGTCCTTATGTCATGTTTCTATCAAATTATTCATTTAATATAGCTTAGGCTTCCATGGCATGTCGTTGAAATGTATGCAAATGGATACTAAAGAGGTTCTCAGAAACCATTTCAAAATGAAAAAGAAGAGGTCCTTATAGGTAAGAATTTGGAAGAGCAGAAGTACTTATAACAGTATCTAACTAAGAACCCCTGAGTATTGGGATGTTTTGAGCACTACTGACATACTGAAGTGGAAGGTTTGTTTTACAAAGTTCACTTAAATTATAAATTGCTTTACCTGACTTTCTATCCCAGAGTGCATCGGATGCTATTTTTATACGTATATTGTTTTTCTACAACAAAACACACAGGTTATATTGGGTAATGTCACCACCCCTAAAAGCATCACTGAACAAATGGACCCCACTTCTAATCGAAGTGAAGTACAAAATGATCAAATTGCTAGCATGCAGCACACACAACTGTTCTCAGAATTAGAATTATTAATACCACATCACTGACTAAAGCCCCATCACTGGCAGCAGACCCATAGTGCTAAGCCTAGCACAAATACTTGAGAAGAAACAGTATTTTAGCCAGGGAATTTGCAGTGTAGGCAAACCAGAATGGAGAGAGAAGACAGAAGCTCCTAGTCAGTGAGGCAACAAATTCAAGCTCTTTAGTCCCACTTTCATGCTCAAACAACTGGACCACACCATCTGCCAGTGCTATTTTAAACAACAAAATGTATGGAAAGTTCATGGAATGCAAATAAAATGAGTGAGGGGGAAAAAATCCTCATCTCTAAACTGCTTGAAATACACTGTTGGCATTTCTGCTGCAAGAATCACACTTCAGAATGTTCCCTGGAAATGGTCCTTTGTCTGAAGAGACATTAGCGAGTGTTTTCCAGGCAGGTTTAAGAACACCTGCTGCTGAAGATAGTTTTCAGCAAAGATCTTATTTTCCATTGCATAATGGGGCTGTCCAGCAGCACATGTACCCTTTAGAATTGTCGTCCCCTAGAAGAGTCAATAGTTTCTCATCAGCCCTCCCTTTAAATAGGCTGTTTTGAAGTCTGCCTCATACCCTGCTGGGTGGGAGAGGAATTCAAGGGTGAGGGGTAGGTGTCGTTAGTTTATAGCTGTGCTGTTACCTCATCCATTTAATATGAATATTCACTCTTTCAACCTTCCTGTTTCCACAGACTTGTTGAATTGTCCTCTGTGGTCCCCATCAATTCCCACTGGGGAATCATTTCCAAGTGCTTAGCTTACAGCAAAGTTGTTTCAGACCCTTTTGTGTACTCTTTGCTACGTAATCAGTACAAGAAGACATGGAAGGACATCATAAACAAGATCCTCAAAAGAAGCTCCATCAACTCCTCTGCCCTCACGAGTGAGTCGCACAACCGGAATATATTGCAACTGAACGAATGAGGAGCCTGGTATGGGATCTTCAGGAACCATAAAGTGATATATGGAAAACAAAAGTAACTGGCCTAACCCTAGTAGCTATCCTCAGCTGTCAAGGTTTTGGGAGGCAGCCACAGAGGCTGGTTGAAGTCAATGTCCCTCCCGCAGCCCCTGTAACACCTATGGGAGGCAGGCTGCTTGGTGCCTCCTGCCCACAACTACAAGTGTGCTATAGATAAGTGGCTCCTGCAGGCTTTGCGGGTACAAATCTCCCATTGATTTTCATCAGCAGCTACACATACATACAGGGTGAAAAGCTTGTCCTTCGTGGAAGGGCTCATGAGAGTAAAGGAAGCAGACTGGTGTGATCAAGAAATTATTTCAGAAAAGCCACATAGGGATACGTGTGGTGTTTTTCATGGGCTGCAGGTAAGGCTCACTCCAATTGAGCTGCCAATCTGGCTTTACTAAAACAACCCCAGTCTAGTTGCTCTTAAAAAGCTTAATAGCAAAATCTTTACCTGGATACTCATACAATGCCCACCATAGTTTTCAACCTCTTTTTAAACATATTATTTGAACAATTCTGTAGAACTGAATGGAGAGAAAGCCACTTTTGTAATACACTGCAGGCTGGATTCGGCCATGTCTTCTAAGTAACTTTCACAGAAACCCATTATTTTCCTCCCCATTAAATTTTAGAACAGTAAAAAAGGTAGATAGGATGAAAAAATCAGGATGATTCCTGCCTACCTTCAAACCACTTTCTAGTATATCTGAGCTACATGGAGATTGATTTTGCCCCAAGGCTGCAAAATTGGTCTGCCTGCCCCATATATTAATAAATTAATAAATAAGTTAATGATGGTTTATATATATATATCAGGAAAAATGAGCCCACAGCTGAGTTTAAAAGTATCATTTCCAAAGCAAGTAGAGCAAAAATAATAGACCTCCTCCCCACCATGAAAGTGCAGACAGTAATATTATTCCACATCTGAACAAGTGCAAATCTCAGAGGTTTCAATTTGGATCTCTGTAACACTGGGATGTTGCTCTGCTTATTAATGTTATTAATATTTACCATGCATTCAGCTCAGCCTGCAGCTAACACAGACCCATATACCACTAAAATTTTCAAGATCAAGAAAATCCTATGTGACACTTCCTCAGAAACTATCACAGTATCTTAATTTTTGTAAACAATATTTAGTTCACTGTAAGTAAAACTGAAGTGTATAGATGGCCTCATAATCGTCATGTAGCCACAACGTTGAATCCATCCTCCAGTGACTAATGACAAATTACTTTCTTTGGTAATTTTCAGTGATTTCTCTCTCAATTCAGGGAAAACACTACGAAATGATACAGTTTAAGTGTTTTCTTATTAACTAAGATGTAGAAACTAAAAATCAATAATTAATCAGTTGTCAGCACTATGATTTTAGGAATAATCAGTTTATAAAACAACTTGCCTCCAAAAAAATGTAACTTAAAATTATTTTCAGGTAAAGAACTATTGGTTTGAAATGCTTCACATTTATACTTTGATTGGCAAAAGACTTGCTACCAATCCTGATCTTAATTCTTCACACATTTGTCTCCAGCAAGTGACTTAAATTCCATAAGACAAAGGCAAATTAACATGAGAAATGAAATTAGGTTTTGTTCAGTAGGTCACGAAAGCTTCTCTCTAGTGGCCATAAATTAGATTTTATTTATTTATATTATTTTTTGACAAGGGTAAAACAGTCAATGCATGCCCAGATTATGAACATTCTCAGTTAAACAGGCTTCATGCATGCAATGGCAACTTAAATAACAGCTGATATAGCTGGCTGTATTAACATCAATCCTTGAATATTCCAACTGTAAATACAAAAGTTAGGACCATATTGATAAAATAGGGCCCTAAGTACTAAAAATGTTGAAGTAATTTTAGTTGCCACCTCTTGTGTTCTCTAAACTAAGGGCACTGTATGGCATCTATCTGCATCTGCAGAAGCCCTGGCAGAAAAGGTTAATGAGCTAAATCAGTATATTTTATTTGTGAGAAATCATTAATATCAGTTATTCTGCAAACCTCAGCATACTCCATTTTGCAAGTTTCACCATGAACACCTGCCTTTGATAAAACGGATATTACAACAATATTTTTCTTTCATACCTTGCAAAAACGCCCACTGCTATAATTTTTGACTGTTGATTAAGAACCCAGATAGGTAACTCAGTGAGAGGTTTCACCTCAAAGTTTCACCTCAGATTTGGGGTCACTAGTGTGAAGAACCTTGCCTTAGCCCTCTGGCATAATACCACAGGTGCAATCTATAAACTCGCATTGTCATCTGCTTTATAAGTGTAAAAAAAAAATAAACAACAGAATGAAGATCATTAACTAACTACCATGTAAGTAAAAGTCTTCATCTCAACTATTCAGTTTAGTTATAAAACTACAGCATATATATAAAAAAAATACACAACTATAGTCATGGAATCCAAGTAGGTTTTTCCAACACTCTATGGTACCCATTAGTCACATTACATTGTCTACCTCATCTTAATCATTTGACTTGTTAATCTTAACATAATTTTCTCAGGTACAATAGGCAAAAACACCCAGTTCAATATTTGTTTCTTACAAAATTCAAGTCATTTTGATGGCTTGACTGTATTCTGAAAGGATAGTAGAAAGCTGATTATCAGCTTAAAAAGATAAAATGCTTTGTATCAGGATGTTATATGTTTTACTAAGACCACTTTTAGTTAAGAAATTAAAACAGGCTGATTGTTAAAGTCCACAACTGTTGTCAATTTAGACATGGGGCTGCTGCCAAAGTCAATGGGAGGTTTGTTGATAAACCTAGTCCCAGAGGGATTTTGCATGCAATCCATTATTCAAATAGAGCAAAATCATTTCCCAGAAGAAAAAACTATAGTACTGTTAGGATGGCAAGTAAAAGGTGAAGAATATAACATTGGACTTGTCTCATTAAGCCTGTGTATCACAGTCAGTCACTGGTTGATTTATGTGTCACCATGAGCAATAAATCTCTCCCCTTGTATATGTTTAAAAATTTGTCTTTCTTTCATGGTGCCTTTCTTCTAGGATTAATCTTATAGCAGAGAATAAATATAATTTCCCCTTAACTTACATCAGATCTCTGACACGTTGTCATATTTCTACCATCTGAAGCAAGCAAGAGTTGTACATGCTGGTGCTTGATAAACCGACTCAATATACAAAATAAAAGTAATACCCTAACATTTTCTGATGACATTTCATAAGATACTAGAAATATGATACCGTGGCTCGTTAAGTGCTAGATATTCATCTGAATTCTTATAGGCAACTGGCAAATTTTTCTAAAATGTGTGTCTAAGTGATGAATGTAGATATGACTAACTATGTGTCTGCTGAGTATTATGTGTACTATACAACACTTTCACTCGAGTGAGTTAGAATAATGATGGCAAATGTAATGCACATTACTTTATTATCTCTGGTCATGAGGTGGAACTGTTCTCTTGTCAAATGCAAATGTGAGTGTGTGTGCGAGGGGTGGATTTTCCATTTGTTGTTTAAATATTTTTGAAAAAGTTTGTAAAGTACAGCTACAACGTGTGCCCAAAATATGGAACTGCATGTGCAAAACTTGTGCAGCTGCTTAGGCAATATGCAGTTTTCTGTTTGTTGGTATCTGCATTCCATATGCAATATCTATTTCTCACATGCATGTTCAATTAACATTTTCTTCATATCTTGTAAGTTTGGCAGGCAGAACATTGGCAGACAATTAAGAGAATTTAGTTCACTATGTCATATTGCAGATTCCCTCTGCTCATTTTACAGTTACTTACACAATTTCAGAGCCATAACTATGAACTAGGACCCCATATTATGTTATGTTTTTGAACTAGTTTTGATGTGAAGATTTGGTAATTGCACATGGCAAAAACTATGAGAGAATGATATGTTTACTACTGACATAAATCAACATAATATTTTGTTGCTTCAACTGACAATCTAGTCCCATTAGATAATTATATCCAGATTTTATAGATCTGTCTTCTGAATGTTTAGGGCTGTGTTTTCAAAGGTATTTGCACAGTGCAAGATGTAAACAGGGTTTGTTAAGTTCCTCATGAGTGCAAGTACCCACTTTCAATGCTAGGCAACTACATGATCCATCTCTAACTAAGGTCTATCCCCATTGTTACCCCTCAAAGGCCCACAAAGCTATGTTGTCAGTGGCTCTGAACCATGCTTTTTATAACCTCTGAAGTTTTATTTATGAAATAGTCAAGTTATAATAATCAAGTCAATAACAATTAATCAAGTCAAATAATCAATATATAAAAACTCCCAGACAAATCTGTATGAAGCCTGAGTGCTGCAGCAGTAGCCTCGTGCATCACAACATTGCAGAGCAGCTAAGGATGGAAGGGACCTCTGGAGGTCATCTTATTCACCTCCCAAGAGGCACATCACTGCTTTTTGCTGTAGCTTACCATCTCAGTTTTGCCAATGCATGTCTGCTCTGCAGTAGTGTTGGGAAATGATCCTAGTCCACATCAACAATAAAGTCATCCTGAAAATTATTTTTTCTGAAATCATTTTGGACAGCCAGCTTAGACTTGACTTCAAAAACAGCTGCATCAGCACAATTTAGAGGCTACAAAACTGGGTCAGAAATAGATGTGAATGGTAGGCTGAGGACCAGAAAGTTTGGGAAACCTAATCCTTACTTTACTGCTGTTGCAATGATATGTGTTGCTCTGGCTGTACTGGGCTTTTCCTGTTGACCTGCTTCCACACCAGGAACTCTTCAGGACTCTCAGCCATTCACTTACCCCAAAGACAAAGCGAAAACTTCTCTCAAAGCCCCGTAGCACAAGCAGCACAGCCTCTATAGGAGGGTCCCTGTTGGTTTAGGAAGGCTTAAATGGTTTTCAGTTGGGCTATATGGATACTCGTCACATACTTTGGATGGCCAGAAACCATCTACACCTGGATGAGCCTTGCTTTAAGAGACAGACTAATTCTTAAAGCTCAGGAAGTTTATGTAGTTTGCAGATAGAAAATTTTTCTGGGCTTACTTGCCAAACTTTTCACAGTTTCTCCATTCCTTTTACTACTGAATAAAGAAGGTTCTGAGGTCTCAGAATATCTTGTCCTGTTCATTTTTACATGTGCAGTGAATGCCACTGAAACAACTCTGGAAATTCCTTGCTTTTCACTACTATCAGAACTATCTTCTCCCTACACTAAATGTTTTTATGATTAAATGAACCTTATAAGCAAAACCAGAGACTTCACACTAATGTCAGATCATTTTTATTTAGCCCCCAAAATCTCTGTATATTACTGCACATCACATTCAGCACAGAAAACTCGGATTCATGGATCCTATGATGTTTGCTTTACCAGGTGACACTGGATAGTTAGTGCTAAGCATAAGCTTCTGTGTTGGTAGAATCAGGGACTATATCTTCATAAGCTACCCAAGCCTGAATAGGTGAGACAATAAAATTTTAGCCTTAAATCTATTATTTTTTCAATTTGCTTTTTATGCTTTAATTCAGAGCACTAAGTATACCTTGTAATCTTTGATGAATAAAGTTTCTTTATGAAAACCATCCCACTTTAAAAGACAGCTGTCCTTGTTGGGAGGTATAAAAGTTTACATGGAGAAAAGAGCTGCTGCAGTGTCTATAAAATGTCTACTTCTTATATGTATTTCTGGTGTGTATCATGTAAATATGTATTTAGAATTGTTGATTTTTAAGCAAATAATGCTGATCTAATGAACTAGAGAGGATACTGTCATATATGTCTATATTTATAACAAAGATGGTTAGCCCTATAGACTGTAAGTGCACTTCTGAAATGTGTGTTGAGAAGCAAATGTATCAGGTGGATGAAAGCATGCATGCGTGGTAATTGTGTTGTAAAATATGTTTTTTTTCTTGAAGAAATACTATTGCACATGGTTTCAATATACCCAAAGGCATGAGTCCACTCAACTGATTAATAGTCTTCAAAGATATATTAGGAAAAGGATCTCCATTTGGAGTTTACTGAATAGTGAGAAAGAATTTTCTAGTCCCTGTAGTTATAAAATTACAGTTCTGAAGCAAACATTTTTTTTTTAAATAACAGAAATAGCAAAAAGGAAATTGAGAGCCTCCATTCTACTGGGATTTGATCCAGCAAGAGTTCCTAAGGAAGAAGAAAATAAGTGCTTTCAAATGAAATGCCAGTGCATCCTAGTGAGATACTAAAGGAAATGCAACGTGGCCTAGTGTGCAAACTTGGCTATATGCTTCCATATGGTTGAGCACCATAGATAGTCCTATTTAGTCATTTTGCACTTATGCTGTCTTGAGTCCTTGAACAAAATTAACAAATAAAAAGCTGTTGGATTTCAAAGTGATTTACGTTGCAACCCTGACCATGAAATCCTTATGCAAAGACAGCTAATTTCTACTCCTCCTGATTTGTTAATGTGATCCACGAGCTACAGAGAGAAATATATATATACATCCCATGAGCTGAATGACATTTGACTTTTTCTGACTTTTGTTAGGAAAATAATGTCAGTAAAATATGTGGTGTCCTCAGGGTCATACAGCAAATGTGACAAGGCAGGGGACAACTTATCCATACTGTACCATCTGGTCCAAACACACTCAAGTAAAATAAAGCTATCTGCATCAGCCACAGTATGTGATGGGTCATTTATAGCAGAAACCATAGGGCTTCCCTCATAACATGTTTGAAAAATCATTATCACAAAATGCCTTGGAAAATAGAAATAGATAACTAAAAGGTGCCTTGATTTAGCTTTATTTATACACATTTTTCTAAACCTTAGATTTTTTTCATGTTGTTTTTATTTACTTAAGATCATTAAAAAAAAAAACAACACACATATATTTGACAATCATTAATCTTTCCCTTCTGAACTCTTGCAGGAATGTGATGTATTACTAGTCCTTATAGATGCAGTTGAATATAAAACTTTTCCTCTAGATTAGATTATTAGATGATTACTTGCTTAAAAAAAAAAAAAAAGAAAAAAAAAAAGTTAGGGGCTGCTAACTGCTTGCTATAAGGACAATGGTGTTTCTTGGATCAGTAAGGAACCTCATATAAGAGGTTCAAAAATGTATGGCCTGTGTATTTAAACTTCATTTTGTTTTGTTTTGAAATAACAAAAATAAATTTTAAGCACCTAGTCAGTCTAAAGAAAGGTAGTTCTGAAATAGCATTAATAATAGCTTCTGTAGATAGGGCATGTTTTGATTATATTATAAATATAAAATTATAATTTATTGTATTTTACTTTAATTTGTATAACAATGGGTTGTAATTGTAGGGGCCATTTATATGGAGGGAAAAAGGCAATATTAATAAATGGATAGAGTGATGCACAGACCAACTTGTAATGACAAAATATTCAAGAGTGCCATGGGTTAAAATGGACTATGGGACTATAGTGTCCCTGGTAAGCTAAACTCCTGTAGTCTCTTAATATACATATTCATTCATGTAAAGACAGATATATAAAATTCTGTTGTACTAACACTTCTAGTTTAAAGGAATACAAGACAGTAAATTTTAATCCTTCAGTTTTTTGAATAAGGGGCCTGTGCTGCCTATTCTGTTTACAATGGCTTGTGCTTTGTGAATACATATCAAATGTTGTAATATATTTTTATTACATAGAGTTAATGGTTAATAAAAAGTAACATATAAATAAATACATACTATATATGTATATTGTGATTTTGTTATATGGACTGTTAATGAAATGTGATTATGATTAAATGACTTCGTGTGAGCTATTTTTTTAATATAAAAGTTTACACTTTAAAAAGTCTGTTTCATTTCATTGTTGCAAAAGTCATACCTGCAAAGTGATGACTGCAGTGATGTGATCTGATAATTCTGTTGACTTTTGGAAAAAAAACCTACAAAGTCAACTCTAACAGAAGATTGCATCAAGGTGTTTATGAACAACATACCTGAAATTATTGGAGAACCTTAATACATAAGGCATTGGTCTAGACTTAATATATATGATCCAACTTAAACTTTCCTTGATACCTTGAGCCAGTTCCACGGTTGCTGTGAAAAAAAAGAGGTGGGGGTCTCTGGTAGTATAGGGTTCCTCTTCCTGCTCTACAAGGCTCCAGACCCACCCTGAGCTCCCACAGAAGGTCTCTGAAGGTTTCAGACCCATCCTGAATGCTAACCAAGAACCAGACCTTGCAGGTAGTCCTGTCAGAGCAGGTCTTTTATTATCTACATGAAGTCCAAGCGCTTTATCCCCAAATATATTCTTCTGCTGAGTCACGGGGTTTAACTGTTAATTGTGCTTTAATAACAGTATTACAACTTCAGTTCCCAGATGTGGATAAGCACTCATTGAAATCAATGCAAATATCCCCAGTCTTCTTCCTCTGCTCTCTAGACAGAGATTTGAGCTGGAGATTAAATTCCACTCCAGTGCACAGATTAGGCCTCTTAAGGACTCTTTTGCTTCTCTTGCAGGTGTTAAATCTGTGCTGTAGAAAAGCAGAAGAGACCCCCAGATGAGCTCAAAATTCTCAGACACTGAATAATTTCTAAATTAACCAACATGACATCATTTGTTCCCATATCTCCCCTTTCTTTTAAACAGCTCAGCAAGCAAGTTTCTGTTGTCCATCTTTCTGTGTGCACACTGTCCCTTCTCACTCACACACAGACAGTTTTGTGAGGATGTTGTGTGTGGGTTTATGAGCACTCAGCACTGGTGCTGAGATGCAATTATCTCAGAAAGACTGGCAGGGTTGGATGGGGAAAATAATATATTCATGCTCATCCCATAGCTGCTTTCAATTTATACTGAGGTCAATGCACAAAGCAAGCTTCAAAGGCAAATTTAGAGCATTAAAACAGTGTGACTGGTCAACCCAGGCAATAGCTTTCACCATTATCTTTGGGAGCAGAAGCTATAGATGTGCTGGCTCTGCAAACCTCAGTGCCATGATAATGTCCTCTCACAAGGGGAAGACATTTTCCAATGTCACTGATCCATCCTGGGCTCCAGGTTCAAGCAGACACCCAAGGGAAACCTACTAGCACAGCGTAAGAAGTTTTCATTTGCTCTACTCTCCATTGCAACTGCTTTTTTTTCATCACTTAGGAAGGACCTTTCATATTACAAAACCCGACGCAAAGGAACATTCATTTCAGGAAAGTTTTGCCTGGAGATTTAGCAGAGACAGAATAATTATCCTGAATCTCATTTCAAAGGGCTTGCCATCCACATGGCTATAAAACTTCTTTCTCTTGCCAGCATTATGTTAGAACCCACTTACAAGCTTTACATCAACTTCTGCCACCCAGAATTTTAAAGGAAAGCAACTGTAATGACAGCAACACAGTGGACATGCATCCAGCATGGAAAAACATCTCCAAAAATATTAAAAGGAAAGAGCAAGCAGCAGTCCCAACCACTCCTCCCCTGCCTGCACCCTGATAGTGCATGCAGAGCACTGGGGACCACAGAGTTCAAGTGTCATCTAAAAATTAAACATTGTGAAAATTATTTAAAGTTTAATAATTTAAAAATTAATAGTGCACCTTTGTTGCTTAGGCATCACATTTAATTCCTATTCTATTTACCCCAGCTATGTAGCATTTTCCCATATCTGCCTATACATGATGTCACTTTTGCTTTCGTTAGATCTTTAAGCACCTTAAACTGCAAAGTTGTCATCATTCAAACAGACAAGATCAAAGTGTGTTAAATACATTGTCATTTTCTTGTTTCTTGTAAGAGTTGGTAATAATCATAAACATTTCACAGATACCTTTAGGATATCCAGTGCTTTTATAATTTAGGAAGACAATTTTCTTTATAACTTTAGGAAATTTAATACTCCTCAAGAAATTAATGTAATTGCTCTGCTGAGCATTCACTTGCCTTCACTGCTGTTTAGGAGAGGCTAAATTGTAGGTTGCTTTTCAGCAGCAAGCTTTGCCTCTCTGCCAGTGGGGACGTGTCTCGCCTAGTCCCTGGGACTGCTTTTCCAATCAAAAGAGACATGCATTTCCAGACAGCAATTCAGAAACCCCATGTTGGACAGAGTGAGAGACCTATGTAAGTGATATGTGATGTTGAAATGTCTAGACCTTCTTCCAATAAATTCGCTGAAAATGTTTCAATAGCAAATGACAGCAGAATGTTCTTGAGACAGAGCCTGAAGTGACCTGAGGGATGGGACATTGCAGTGACTTTCCACCAAGACCAGCGGTCTTGGAATAAAGTCTCAGGCCAGAAAGAATTGGAATATTAAATTACCTATTTGCCCTCACAAAACATAAACACTAGATTTACAATCATGGATGATCTGTCATGTGTACACTAACAGAATCACTTCCAGCTGCAGTGCTTTGGAGTGGAGATAATAAAATAATTGTTAAGAAAATGTTTTAGTGAATCAGACATTTGGGGCCACCTGCCCTCAGGTAGGGTCAGTTAAAACTACTCCAGCACCAGTATATGATAATCTCACCTGTTTGTAAAACTCTTAGTGATCACTGTTCCACAAATCTTCTATCCTCTCCAGATAATTTCAGAGTTTTATTATTCTTCTAGTTATCTTACTCTCTATAAAAGCTAACATTTCTACAAACCTTGATGGAAACTCTACAGATCTTTATCTATTTTATGCATGTATAGTTATGGGAGGGAAAAATTAAACAGAAACTAAAAAAGTAAAGAAAACTTTCAGAGTAAAAAAAAAAAATAATCGTTCCCCAGTTCTTTTCTGCTGCAAGAAACTCTTTGAAAGGGATAAATACTTGCACAATAAGACACGGCACATGTTGGCACAGTTTAGTTGCATTGTTTCCAAGCTGTTGATAAATCAAGAGAAAGACTGCCACATGATATTTTTGAGAAGACTTCAGGAAATGATGAAATTGAAAAAAATAAATTAACCCACATTTTCAAAACTTAATTTACAAAAAACTTGGTTGAAATCCGAGATTCTCACTTTTCAATGTTCTATATCTGTAAACTTTAAATCATAGAATCACAGGATGGTTTGATTGAAAGGGGCCTTCAAGACAACGTCATTCCAATCCCCTTCCATGGCAGGAACACCTCCCACTAAATCAGGTTTCTCAAAGCCCCATCCAGCCTGGCCTTAAATTCTTTCAGGGATGGGGCATCCACACCTTCTCCAGGCAACCTGCTCCACTGCCTCGCCACCCTTTGAGTGAAGAATTTCCTCATATCTCACCTAAATCTACCCTCTTGTATCTTAAAGCCATTACTCCTTATCCTATCACTGCATCCCTGACAAAGAGTCCCTCCCCAGCTCTCCTGTAGGCCCTGCTTAGGCACTGGCAGGATGCTATAAGACCTCCCCGGAGTCTTCTCTTCTCCAGGCTCAACAACCCCAACTCCCTCAGCCTGGCTTCACAGGAGAGGTTCTCCATCCCTCTGGTCATTCTTGTGTCCCTCCTTGTGCTGGGGGCCCTAGGGATGAACGCAGCACTCCAGGTGGGGTCTCACAAGAGCAAAGTAGAGGGGGAGAACAACCTCCCTCGACCTGCTTGTCATGCAAGATGTTATTTTAGAAATTAAATATACATGACACACAACGTTTATGTCACATGTAAACTGTTAGTTGAATCCCTGATAGACTACATTATTTTCAACGCTGGTTTTTTAACCAGATTGGGAAAGAGTTAGTTACCTATGACGTTGGAGTATTTCTGTTAGGCTGCCTTAATTTTCCATACTGGAGACCTCACTATGTTTCCTTGGCCATAAGAAAGCTGGTGTGTGTGTGTGTGTGTGTGCATGTGCATGTGCACCAACCCATTCCATTAGATAAACCCTGATGAGATACAAACAAGGGCAGCACCAGCAGGGCCCTCCTAGCTTCAGCACACGCTACACAATTACCCGCTGCCAGTACAAGGTATACATGGAAAGTAGGAGCTGAATATCCCATATGAGCTGAAAGCTGAGAGCTCCTCTGTAGTTTCGGCAGACAGGACCAGGGTTTTACATCCTTTAAATGGTACCAGACGCTAGGGCTGGCATGTGGGGCAGATGTATTTCTATTTGCTCCTGTAATACTTGTGTGTTTTTACAATCAATGTCCTTTTTAGTTCTCTGAATGTCATTATGAGAGCTCCCATGTTGCTCTTATGTGGATTCTTTTGTCTAAACAGAATAAACATACCCTGAAGTGATATCTGCTGCTCTTAGCATAGCACAACTCTCACACTGAATTTACTTGTCAGATCTGTGTCTTAGCAGCTTCAGATGCTAAAAATTCCAGGATTTTCCAGAGAACAAAATAGGAATTATGAAAAACAGGTACTTAAAATGTTGAAAATTACTGCAACCATTATCAAAAGATGTTTTCCTATAAAAAGATCCTCCTGAACCACGTGCTTCCAGAGAAAAAGGATGCCACAAAAGTCAGCAGTCAACATCATAAAAATTGCAACAGCAGAAAACATCAGAAGCTAACAACAACCCTGACAGTTTTCTGAGGCTCAGGCTTGACCCAAGTATTTTCTGAACTCAGACAAAAGTGCAAGAGACAAGGCAGCACTTTGCTGTGTGAATTATTTACATAGGTACACACTTTCTCACTACTGAAACTTATTGTTTAATCAGTATGAGAAGACAACAACAACAACAAAACAGCAGTCTATTTAAAGTTTTTGAAACATACAAAGTCATGATAAGTTCATTTTCACAAGACTTCCCTTTCCTTCCACTTTTCTCATATAAAGATTGCTTTCAGTGC